CCTTCTTCGTCCTTGGAGGCGTAAATGTAATCATGCCAGGCGTGATTAGGGCAAATCCAGTTGTGATGCGCGAGATCACTTCCTGGGACCTGGGCGGGGGGCGCGGCCATAGGCGGATCGAGACAGTCCAGATGCCAGGAGAGTGGACAGATATCGCACTGGATGATAGGCCGACCGCTAGCGGCACTTCCTGCGCACTTGAAACAGAAGATGGGAGCTCCTAGAGCGTCCATTGTCCTGTGCAAATGAGGATCGTCATAAGTACCATTACGGTAACCACGTCGACCTTTGGGCTTCGGCATTGGAACTATGGCCTCGTAAGATTGACCGTCTTTCTTGTTCACCCTAACACCGGCGAAATGATCCCGAATACGGGCTGGAAGTTGGAAGTCCTTGACATCCTTTTTGCCAAAGCGCTGATCAAACTTGCTAGTCAAAGAACGGAAGGCCCGTCGCATGGCACACTTGGGGCAATACCAGTCTCCCTCCGGAGGATTGTTTGGGTCTAGTGGGGGTTTCAAGCATGAGAAATGGTAAGAATTAGTACAGCCATCGCAGCACAAGAGATTGCCGCTGTTGTTGCATTCGTGGCAAATTTCGTCGTTGTCCGGTCTCTCGTCTTCAACATCGCTATCATCACTACCATGCATGTTAGCCTATAGAAAACCAGCAATAAACAAGAAGGAAAAGTGAGGCAGGGATTGTGGTCCTTACACCATGGTAGGCGTGAGTCGTCGATTGTCACCAGCTTCACTGCTGGCTCGACTGTCGGGAAGGTTTTCTGCAGTTTCTCCAGAGGAGGATGTGAGAGGGGCTGATGCTACAAATTCAGCTGAGGCAGCGGAAGCAACTGGCTGAGCTGGAGGAGGCGTTGGTGCGGAGGGATGGGCGAAAGGTGGAGTAGGTGAGCGAACTGGGGTTGGGATATCAGTAGGGTGTAAGGGTCGGACCTGACTCTCAGCAGGGACGATGGTTGGCAGTGGTGTCCGAAGCTTGATTCGCTTCACCCTGTCTATTCTGTCTAATTCTTCAGACCGCGTCTCGTCCTCTTCTAAAGCATGCTTCAGTTGAGAGCTGACCGTTGTTGGTGGCATAGAATGGCGAGCTGTGAGGTCTGCTGCACCTTTGTTGAGTCCGGCGGAACGGGTGTGTCTGGCCTTTGCGCGGGGAATATTGATTCCAGGGGCTGACCCTGGGAGTTGTGCTGAGACCGCCCCGGCATCAACGTCCTCAAATGTATTTAGTGAGGACAACGACGAAACGCTACTAGCCGATCGAGCGCGAGGCAAAGCTGGCATTGAGTCAACCTCTGTTTCCTCTTTGTCCTCGTCTGCCTGTGCGCGAGCTTCTTCTGCCTTTACCTCGTTCCAGGCGGCCCGCATGATGCTCTGAAATGCCGACTTCTCCCGCGAGCCAGGATTTCCTTGGCATACACCCTCCAACACAGACAATGAAAAGGGATCATTGGCACAGGATTCCCACAGGCGGAGGAGCCCGCGGCTTACCGGAATGTTGTCGGTCTCTGTCGCCATGCGTAGAGCCTCATTGACGGCCACTTTGATTTTTTCCACGTTGAAGTCCGCGGAGGTGGGAATGGGAAGCGCCGCAAACGCGGAAATGTCATAGAGTGAGCTGGCCTTCTGTGGCGCGGGCTCATTGGACTCGACTCCAGACCTTCTTTTGGCAGGTATTATGGGTGGAATTGTCTTGGGCATCAAGCCGACCTTCCGCAAGTCCGCCGGAGAAGGTCGAGTTCCTAAAGGGCGCATCGTGTTCAGAACTGGGTTCCGACTATCACAGTGATTAGACCATGGGCTATCCGCATAGCTAGGGGCCGGCGCTCTTGCAGGAGGCTCGGCCCAGTCTTTGCTTCCATTGTCCTGCGACTCCGTCGCGTTCTGTAGCGGAGCGGTGGCCTCGCGCGAATCTATGTCCGTGCGCCGTTGCTTTATGGGCCTCGTGGCTTCGGTGACCGAATTAGTTGTGCTTGCCATCATGGGCGCATCAGGTGGTGTGTTAGGTCGGGAGTGAATACGGGAGGAAGAGGAGCGGAGGGTCGGAGCCATTGCTGTAGACAGGGCTCGGGAGGTACAACGGCTGCAGGCGCTGGGTTAGCGATGAACAGACAGTAGGCATTAATTAGCCTGAGAATATTGTCAAATAATACTTACTGAAGTAGAGGACTCCAAGCGAACACCGAGCGTGCCCAGCGTGGCTGGTTGGAATCGAGGCCAGCCCGCGCGCTGTCTGCGGGTTGAAGAAAGGAAGAAGAACCGCGGAGTTCGCCCGGAAGTTTTCGAGGAATCCCAAGCAGACTCCTAAGGGGGTTGTTGCGGAAGCTGCCACAAACACCAAAGTCGGCACGTCTGCCCTACGAAAAGGACAGTTTCAGCATTGAAATGTCTAAATAGTAATTTTTGTTCAGGGAAATTTTACCGTCAACGATGGATACTGTTTCTTGATGGCTGCTCAGCTACCGATCCTTGTACAGGCGCGCAGAATAGCCGTGTAGGGCACAGGCTTCGAGGGTTCCCGTGCACCTGGATAAGTGTAGACTGGGTTCTGTCGCGCTGCTAAATATTATGGTAGCGTAGAATCGAATGTTAAATATGAAACTCTCGTGGCACTTGACCGAGGGTTTCCCAGAGGAGTAGTGAGCCTATGATCTGGTCAGCCACAGTTTGGTCCCCAAAGTTGTTTCGCCAACACCGATGCCCAACCAACACAATTGGCCCTGACTGGAGTCCTTCAGACTTGACTTAGAGCCGGTTGCTTTTGGCCATCAGCATTTCATCTGGGTCGAAGCAGAGGTGCATCTTAAGTAGAATGCCCGGGTAGATCTCTGTTCTATCCAGCGTGATGACGAATGGAGATAACTCAAAAAAACAATGGAAAGACGTATTTTGTGGCTCCGAAGGCTCACTTACCAATGGAAAGTAGGGCACAAAGAACTATCGCGTTCGAGCTACCTGTCACTGCAGGTGCGAAACAAGCCTCCTGGTCGAGTCACAATCACGCAGCGGAATTTGAGGAGATAGAGACGAATATCGTAACCTCGGAAAGCTGATAGGAAAAGAGCAGACCAGCCGGTATCCTGATACAGAAGTGCACTATTTTAGATGCCAAGAGAAAGATTGGAAGCGATGGAAGGAACGGAGAGTGGTAGGAAGGCAGTCTGGAAGCAAGTGCGCAAGGATGGAAAAACAAGTTGACAACAGATTTGAGGCCTGAAGGCGAGATGTCTTCAGTTCGCACTGAGATGAAGGAAGTACTGTACGTTGGTGCAAGCTGGAAGGAAGAGTGGAAAGGTGACGGTGTCGTGTGTAGAATGATGATAGAAGTGATTACAACACAGCACGTTCGAGGACAAAAGCCACGATGCTCTGGTCTCAGCAAGAGAAACGAGGCTACACGTTCAACACGAAAGCACTCTCGTAAGCACGACTTTGTCGAAAGGTGAGAGAATCGAACGAGGAGGATGGTGGAGATGTCAATGATCTCAAGACGACAAACTCACAAGGTGAGGGCGTCTATACGCAACGCACCAGACGTCCTTCCGGTGGATAGAAGATCTTCAGGATCTTGGAAGGTCTTAATATCAAGTAGACTGGTTTAAGAGACAGAGGAAGAGGAGGCTAGATGGATGGGAACACAGCCAAGTAGAAAGTGTGATGTAGCGAGAATCGTTCAGTGGCAACAACGCTAGACACGTTGAGAGATGTAGCAGCTCCGGAAACTGATAAGCAAGAAGCCGCTATGCCGAAGTGTTCAAAACAGGTTCAACGTCTAATAGAAGACAGTAAAAACTTCTGATCTTGGAGATGAGGAACGAAGCCGAAGAGATAGCTTGGCTCTGTTGAGCAACGCGTATGGAGGTTCTTTGTGGTGAGGGAGAAGAAGAAGACGATAGGAAGTGCGAAGGTGACCGAGGAAGGAATAAGTAGAGGAAATCTGTCTCTGGGTAGGCAGAGAAAGAGATAACAGTGTTACAGTCGGTAACTCAGGGAGGTTGGTGTTAAGGACGAGATGCCTCGATGCTCTCGGGACTTCGGGGAAGGAGGATGTGGATGTTGGGTGGGTGGGCCAAGTGAAGGGGGTGAGGGGGAGCTTCTTCACTCACTCAGGATTCGGCCAGCAGAGGCAGCAAACACCACACTGAATCGCTGCCTTGCAACACCTTGACTTTGGTGGCCGAGCCCAAATATTCAACTAGAGGGAATGGGTGTCTGAGAAAGAAGGTGGAAGACGAGAAGGAGAGGTTCGGGAATTCTTTCAGTCTGGCCCACTGCTCACTGCCTCCTCCTGTTCCTATCCCCTTTCGCTCCTGTCTCTTCAAAACTAGGTACTGTACAACTCGATAGCACGCCTACTCAAACCTGTCTGTGTTGTTTCTGAAATGCTACGAGTCGCTTGGGATTTGCGAGTTCGTGCCCATATGATCTTGGGGCCTTCCTGCCTTTCCATCGGCGAACAGGCAGATCAAAGCCCATCCACACACCACGTGAAGCAATCCGATGATCTCCTTTCCCCCACTGCAACTCAACCGTAGGATTCCCCTTCGATACTCTCTACCTCCCTGACGGTCCCAGTGATATCAAACCGTGTTAGGACTTGCTGGTTGCTCAACATGAGCGCTTCCGGACGTCTTGCCCAAGAGGGTGGAAGGCGATCATAGACTGAACCAGCGAACCTCTCAAATGTAATTCACAGGTCCTTGTCAAGATGGTGAGATACAAGATGCAGCTCGATGCAGTCCAGCCGAATGGATCCTGACCACAGGTCATGAGGAGAGAGAAGGATAAAGGGTTAATCAAATGTGCGTGCTCGGCACTATCCTCACCCACCTAGAGATGACATGATGTAACTACTGCTTTCGAGTCTTATAGATTCACATCAAATAGGTTTCAAACCACATACCTGGGATGCCAGGAAACTCGCCTAGGCCCTAACTAAGATAGAACAAATAAGCCCACAGTCAAGGAACTTGGCAGGAACTGGCTGGCACCAGCTATCATAATATTCATTGGTGAACTGTATCTGGCTTGGTTTCCACTGGACATATACAACTCTTCCTCTTTTTGAACTAATTTATGTGACAGCATGTTTTCAACAGGGAACTGCGAGGGAGAGGTGGTCCTCCCACCAGACTTGTCTCTGGCGTTCAGCATTGCGACAACAACCCTCCGGTCTCGGAGAAGGCCCAACGGGCTCCGACTTTCAAAACAAAGCACCATCATGGCGGACATTGCCAGGGCTTTGGAGCCACCAAAACTCCCCCCGAACAGTTGTCATATGCGTTTATGTGAGCCAAAACACGGTTCCCGGAACTGCGTCAAGTGAGGCCTGATGCAATGATGCATTTACTCCTCATCCTTGGAGTCCTCCGTCTTGGCGGCCTTCTTCTTCTTGTTCTTGTTCTTCTTAGAGCCAGTAGACTTGGCCAAGGGGCGCTCAAGGATCTCGAGGATCTCCACGTCCTCAATCTTCTTATCGGTCTTGAATTTGGTAAGATCGGGAGTGGTGGGAGCAGCAAGACGGGTGATACCGTTCTTGGTGATGGCTGCATTGAGGGTTAGTTTCAGACTTGAATTGCAATTACCACAATCGCCACCAATTGCTGATAGAGAGTGGAGAGGGAGGATTCATACCAATGGTAGACAGCACACGGGACACGGCAGCGTTGTCAGCATCACCGGCGGGCTCGTACTGTCTCAGGACACCACCACGGACACACTCGACGACACCAACCTTGGCGGCCTTCTCGTCATCCAGCTGACGCAAGCTGAAGGGGAAGGTGCCGAACTTCTTGACGACCTCAGACAGGGTCTGTCTGGAGCTAGGGCGCTTGAGACCATAGGTGGTGGTGGTACGGCGGTGCAGAGTAGCACGGTGGGGAAGAGTCTTGACCTTTCCGGATCCAAGGGACAGTCCGAGTTCGATACCCCAGACCTCGCCGACGTCGGGAAGACCCTCACCCTTGACACCAGTGCCGGGGGAGAGGATGATCTTCTTCTCACCCTCGATCTCGTTGCGCTGGAACAGCCAGCTGGTGGTGTTCTCGACGACGTTGCAGTCGTAGACCTTGGCAACCTTCTCGATGAGCTGGGTGATCTGGGCCTGAGTGTAGGGCTTCTGGGCGGCGGCCTTCTGCTTCTCCTCCTCAGTACCGCTGGCCAGAAGACCGGCAGGAACCAACAGTCTCAGGAGAAGCTCGTTGGCGTAGTGGGTAGCGTGAATAAGGTCAGCCTCGCGGCCAGTCACCTCATCGGAAGAGGAGTTGCTGTCGGCAACAATGACCATGTCGCAAACAATGGTTCCAAAGCCATCGATCTGAGCACCCAGCTGAATCTTAACAACCTCACCGGCCTTCAGGGTAGTCTCGGCCTCGGCGGCATCGGACACCAAAGGAGTGTAGGGAGTCACATAGGAGTTGGGGGAGACAGTGGTGGGGTGAGAGATACCTTTTGCGACGAGGTCGCGTCAACCATCATGCTCTAGAAATTTCACTTGAAGAGGCAACATACCCTTAGCGATCTTCTTGCCCTTGTAGACCTTGGCAATCTCCTCCTCGAGGAGCTGGTCACCCTTCTGGCAGAGCTCGACAATCTTGCTTCCCTCAATACACCATCCTATGAATGGTGGTTAGCACCACCCCGAAGAAACTATGCGACAACCCTCTTAAGAGGTAAACGGCAGGAAGAGACACACCTGAAACGGCTTCCAAGACCTTCTGGGAGATCTGAGCAGCGGTCTTGTACTTGGTAAGGGTGTCGGGGTTGTTGAGGGTGTAGTCTAGAAATGATCGAGTTAGCGGCTAGTTGTGCGCAAGGAAACCGGCAAACATTTGTGAGCAGCATCACAGAACGTGCTAGAATACAAGGAGTAAAAATTGAGGCAGCCATGCGAAGGTCGCGATTGAGGGTTAATCGAGGTGGCAGCGCAGCCCGTCAAACGCAGCCCGATCCATGACGATGAAAACCAAGCGGGAACCCACAAACGCCGGAGGAGCTTTTTCAAATTGGTAGGAAGAAAGAGGAGGGGCAGCCAGCGTATTGAGCAGAGGTGAATACATACCAACCTCGGGAGCCTGGGTCTCAGCCATTGTGAGCTAATTAGAGTATCCTCGCGCTGGGGACGAGGAAATGATAGATTAATAGGACTTTTGGATAGTAAGACTTGCGGAATAGTAGAGAGAAGAGGGAAAATGGACTTTGGAGCAGAAGCTGGAGAACCTTCGATTAGTTTAGTCGCTCGATGGAGTCGTGTGCACCTGCCTGGTATTACCCATTACGAAACCACCAGGGCGGGGGCTTTGGCCCGCTTTCGCCAGCGGTTTGCCCTCATCAAGGTGGGGTTTGTGACCAGTAGGGCTCGGTAACAGCTGGTTTTGCCAGTACCTTCCGTTTTCACGGCCGACCGCCCGCCGTCATCACTTTTTCCTTCCAGGCCCAATGGCATCCATTCTTTCCCTGGGAAGCTTGGAATTGCAATACAAAAGACTCGGGAGCTTCAACAGCTTGACTCAATGAATATACTCTCCAGTTGATTCGACTGTTGACATACTATTTTCTGCTCTAAGTTGCTCAAACTATGTCTTCGAGGGTCATGAGCTCAAGATCCAGCTCGACCTTCTATATGACATCACCTGTGTGTCGCCACTGATCGTCCTCGGAGCCCTGACGAATGCTACAGTCAATCGACCAAGCAGGGCATCTGTACCTTGAGCTTTGAGTGTAAATTCAAGCTCTCTTGACATACTCTCAGTACTCAGCGAATAGGCGAGTGGTAGTGACTTCCATTGTTTCTTACAAGGCAATGATCAGTGGGCCGAGTTGTTGTTCTGTCAGCTTTAGACTATCTTGTTGGTGCATCTGAATGGTAGTAGTCCACGGATAGGCTGTGTAGAAGAATGATTACTTAAGAGGTCAGATAGTCATTTTACTACACCATTTTCTTGCTGGTGATTCAAACCATTCTCTCCGCCGATTTTCTAGTCTATCATCCTGGTGCTTTTGGGGGCGAAGTTTCGGAGTTGGGATTGAAGGTCTACTGGGGAAACTGTGTGTCTGGTCCGGCTCGGGTGCTATTTCCCTAGTTTATATATGCGAGCCATGTACAATCGTTTACTGCGTGCTGCACATGAAAGCACAGTTCTTGCTGATTCGAAGCGGAATTTCCCGTACAGTGTGAGAGACCTCTCTGAGGCTCATGTTTTTCTCATCTAAGACGGAACTTCGTACTTATTTGTGCTTACTATTCTGTGCAACATCGCGTGTGATTTTGGCAAGGATCTGCTCGCTCCGGAGACTCCGTATAGCTAACTAGTGTGTGACAATAAGTCCTGGGCTAGTCTGTCAGTGAGCCCACCTACAGTACCTTCGTTGCTTCGAGTACAACTCTTCAACAAAGAAAATGGGGATATTAAATTAATTCACCCTTGTCGGCTGTCAGCAGTAAAAATGCTAGCATCCCGCCAATCCTGCAGGCAAGGAAAGGAATCACCGCCTGGCCTCGTGGCTCAGCATCGGCCCCCTCGCGCGTATGTGTGACCGCTGCAAGGTGATCCGCCACGCTGCAGCTCTTCCTTTGCCCTACTCCCTTGACAAAGCCCAACTTCTGGAAAGAGCTTGGGGGCCGGATTCCTCGATCGGAACTTGAAGACTTTAATATGGACATGGATTCCTTTAACCTTTCTTTATTCTTCCTTCCCCCCTCATGCCCCTTGCCAGACAGCTTTTCTGGGGCTTGGGAGCCAATAACTGTCACTGAGTCCCTCAATGTCTCGTCCTCACGTATCCTTGGACGAAAAGACCTCCCATAATCCTCGACACACACCATGTTGACCTTCAGAGATGCTGTTGACAAGTGCACGGGGCTTTCCGGTGATGGGAAAGACATTGCCATCACCTTGGCTTTCTGTCTCTTTCTAGTGGCCATGACCATGGGACTTCGATTTTACACGTTGGTCATGCGAAGACAGAGCTTCCAAGCGTCGGACTATCTAGCACTTATATCTCTGGTAAGATTCTGAGTATTATATGCCGCTTGAGCTGTTTAAGGAGCTAATGGTGCGGTATCAGCTTTTATACTACTCTAGCGCGGTGACGGTCTTTCTGGGTATGGCACCGGATTCATCTATGGTGCAATCATTTTTGATATTAATCCGCCATCTATTCAGCTTTGACCATCGGTCACATTGGCTATCGGACATCGGAAACGCCAGCTTGGCGGCTCAGCATCGCCTTCAAGGTAGATAGTCTCGTCAGTCCATCCCTTACTATACTAAGGTATACTGACCAATTCGCAGTGCATCTATTATATCCGACTGGCATACCTCATAGGGCTAGGTCTGGTAAAATGCAGTCTTTTGCAAGCGCTTCAGAAAACCTTCATCCCTCCGACCAGCTATTTTCGGTTCGCCGTGTGGACGACAATGGTAATATGTGCCTGTTGGAGCCTGTCAGGGTTTCTTCTCGCATTTCTGGCCTGCCACCCATTCAAATACAATTGGACTCCGAATCTTGGAGAAGGTCATTGCGTGAATCAAAGCCACGTTCTACTGGGTCTTGGTATCATTGATTCTGTGACGAGCTTCGCCATCATGGTTCTGCCATTGCCGTATTTGCTCAGAACCAACCCGACGCGGTCTCAGAGGCTGGCAACCGCTGGCGTCTACGGGATTGGAGTCTTGTACGTATGCCCTGGGCTCTGCAATGGACGAGTGTCAGACGCAACATTTCTAATTGAGAAACCGAATAGCGCTGTTGCCATTGCCATCCTACTGACTGTGGCTCTTTCGAAAACCGACCTGAGCAATTTCAACGAGGCAGGCAAAATGGTCGTGGTCTGGTTCACTGTTGAGTGGACAGCAGCAATCATCGTGGCCAATGCATGCGTCCTTGCACCAGTGTTTGCCTGCCTGGGTCTTTGCCAATCTCTGCGTGCTGGCGCGAACACCTCGCTCAGCCACCCCAAGGACGGTTCTTATTTGCTGGGGTCGATGCGGACTCTGACAACAGGCGGTAGTAGCGCACCACTAAAGCCGAAAGCCACGCTGGCAGAGACAGGCTCGATTCAGTCGTCGCGATCGATGATGAGAGGGCTTGGGTTCTGTTGGACGGAGGCCACAGGACAAGCACAGCAACCAGGCTCCGTCCTTGCCTTGGAGCCAGGAGAGGTGCGCGTGCAGACAGGATGGTCTGTAGAAAGGTCACCGGCCAAGACAGAAGCTACTGCAACAACAACGATAGGAACCTAGACACACAGGGCTCCGAATCAATGAAGTCATGATCGTCGTTTCCCAAACAATTCCGACACTTGTGCTACTAGTGCATAGATTGTAAGACCGAGGGGGGCGGGGGAGACTGGCGCCACACCGGCTTGCATTCGTAGAGTGTTCACATTGAACTCCGAGTCCGATTAATCTAGAAATATTGGGGGCCACGCTAGATGCACATAAGACTTGCCTTGATTTCGCTCTTAGTGGATTTAACTTGATGACCACGTTGATTTCTAGTCTATCTATGCTGCAGTCAGCACACGTCCGATCCGATGATGGCTGGATTCCGTTTGTCTCCGCCTCCCGACTCCGAGTCCGCTCCTGCCGATTCCAGTTGAGGGTCAACATTGTAGACTAAAATCTGACCTGCAGCGAAGTTCTACGCTGTCAGAAAATGAGGAGAAGGCCCTCGCCTTCGGGCTGCCACGCGTGATCCATGACAATTGTCAGATCCCATGTTCTTACGAGCCTTTGTTGCGATCTTTCGTTCTTGAGTGAAGGACATTCTGTGCTCACTTCACACAAAAAGCCCATATCTATCGCTGTTGCCTGTCCAGAATACTGGACCCAGAATCCCTCCGAACCATGAATAACTTGCAACAAACATCGAATACAAACACGTTTGCTCGCTCGAGCCGCTTATCAGGATTACGCTGTAGCTGCACCATCTTCGCCATCATTGCTCGTCCACCAGCGAGCAAGACATACGTGTCAGGCTGTCCGCTTGATCAGTTCGTTCCTTCAACCTGCGCGAAAGATGACCGGTAATCAAGTTCTTTTTCTATGGATTTGCTTTCGAACTTTGCTTCTTGTCGGCTGTTTCATCTCGAACTCAAAACTAGGTTCTCGATTCCTTCGTTCTTGGTGGTGGCACAGCGCTGCCTCTTCGCTTTTGGTGACCCAGACAAAGCGATCTCGTACTCTTCACCCACATTGGTGGATCTTGGTTGCGATTTCAACATTGCACAACTCTCTTCATGCCCAACGAGACCCAAATCTTACATTTCCAGAGCTCATCTCGATCAGATAGCAAACCAATGCCTCCAGATCACTCGGGGAGCGTATTGCGACCCTGACTATACGGATACACTGTCAAATGCGAGGAGCAGGAATCAGTGGCGGTGAATTCGTGGACACAGCTGACAGTGTCAAACAATCGAACGGATCGTCGTGGCTATGCTGAGCTCGAGGGTCCCAGTCTATGTACTTAGCGCAAGGCTAGAAGCATCGAAGCCGGATCGCGTGGTCGGTGGGGAACCAACAACGAGGGTCTATGACAGCAGCCATCTTACGGCATGCTCGTCTGGCACATCTCTTGGAACAAGAACCCAGCGGAGTCATCGAACTCGACCAATTCTTCCCCGATCGCTTCATGTGTCGCAAATAGAAGCACTTCCCCACTCGTGCAGGATTGCAGTGTCAGCACCACGAGGGCAACACCGGTTGCATGGATTGTTTCATTTAAATAGGATGTGGTTCCGAATCCTTCCTGAGGCAGAGCAGTCTACTTCGAGTATGGTCCGCTCATCCACTTCAACATGGACGCCATACGCGACATCCCTGACGTGTATATTTCTCAACGATCGGTGCATATAAGCTGACATGGATTGAAGAATCCGAGATTCCTCTGGCGCGGCAACAAGAGTCCTGACTAAGCGGAGCATTCCTCTTGTCTCACGATCGGTGTGAACTGTGAGTCGCAAAGCGGCGCAACCACGATTTAGAGTATCCAGTCTGGAGTAATTGTCTGGGCTGCTCAGCCACTGTTAATGTATGAAAATGACAGAAATATGCGTTGCCCCCTAGTTGTGCACCAGATGATCGATTTGAGAGACCTCCAGTAGATGCAGCCATTGAGCTTTGTCTTGGGGACAAAGACTCTCGATATACAATTGGCAGTAGGGCCTAGTGAAGCCATACATAAAGGTAGAAAGCTGGAGACTCTACTTCACATAGGTTTACGAACACAAGTCTGCATAGCAGAACTTCTGAACAGGATTGTAGCAATGTCCGATTACCATCGACTGGTAAGAGTCATAGAATCCTCAAGTAAACTTGTGAGTAGTACCTAAGCAGCAGATACCTATCACTACATTGCAGTCAGTTCAATCGGCCTCTGTCTCCCAGTTGCGCAGCACAAAGAATCGTGCGCAATGCCCAATCACCGGACCATCGGCAGTGACCCAGCTTTCTCCGCATTCTCCGCTTGGAGTCTTCCCCACTCTACTTCCACAAGGACGAGTACTCGCACTCGAAAGCCAAAAAATAAACCGTTCAGACGACAATCTTCTTTCAACCTCAGTAGATTCATTCTACATACCCTGGGTCCCCATAAATAATTCTCCACGATGAAAGTAGCTGCAGAGCTCCCCCTCCGTATCCTTACCCATAACATCCGGTATGCAACCTCATCTCCATTCCAGGGCGAGCGACCCTGGGCCGATCGAAAGCAGCGGCTGCTGAACGAGCTACTGTACAATACACGCCATCAAAACGCCTTTATATGCCTACAAGAGGTTCTACATAACCAGCTGGTGGATATACATACGGGGCTGAACTCTCCCCATCCCTCCTCCCCCAGCCAGACCTGGGAGTACATCGGAGTCGGCAGGGACGATGGCCGCGAAGCAGGCGAGTATTCTCCGATCTTCTACCAACCCGCAATCTGGGAGCTCCGAGACTGGGAGACCGTCTGGCTGTCTGAGACCCCGGATGTTCCCTCCAAGAGCTGGGATGCCGCCTCGACCCGCATCGTCACGGTGGGCGTCTTCACCCATCGCGCGAGCCGTCGGACTGTGTTGGCATTGAACACCCATCTCGACGACCAGGGATCCCGGTCCCGATTCGAGGCCGCCCATATTATCCTGGCGAAGATCGAGGAGTATCAGGCGAAGGCGACGTCCGGAGGCGGTAGCAGCAGCATCTCGGGGGTGTTTCTTGCAGGCGACTTCAACAGTCAGGAGGACCAGGAGGCGTATACTGTGTTGACAGCGCCGGAGTCGCCCTTGGCCGACGCGGCCAAGTTGGTGACACCCACGGAGCATTACGGCCACTATCTGACATGGACCGGGTTTGGCCATGAAGGGCAGGCTCCCACTCGCATTGACTACATCCTACTGGAGTCCACGGCGGACAAGGTTTTCAGCCACGGTCGCCAGCCGTGGATAGTCGAGGGGTATGCCGTCCTGGAAAATCGGTTCGAAGACGGGGTCTTCAACTCGGACCACCGGGCAGTGGTGATTGATGTGCTCTTAGGCCAGTAGAATGACGGAGGAAATTGGTTGCAACATTTTCTGGACATAACCACCGACGAGTAACATGTGCAAAACTGGACTGTCCATACGGTACGGTAACACTTGGTATGCTTGGTCACCGATTCGGTACGGCATCGAAAGACTAGATCCACCGTTGGCGACACTGACGCGCTAACGGAGGACCGGCTTACTGTCTTGGGAAAGGCTTAGTGTCACATGATAAGCTGAACTGGTATAGCGCGCGGGAGTGCGTCGGTTACCGTACGAAACAAGCGACGGTATTACAGCATCAATACAATGACAAGTGTAAGAAAGCTTGAGATCGGACCAGAAGATAAAGCAGCATGAAGTATGAGTTTGAATAGCTTCAAAAGGGCTCTGAAGGGTCTTCTGTAGCCCTTGAAAGACCGTCGAACCTCTCTCCATGCGATTGGCATCCTCCCTTTTGCTCCCTGGATGACTTTCCTTCCCCCCCGGGGAGCCCGGCCAGAGGGTAGAGACTTGTAACGGCGGTTTCCCTCTGGTTTTCCGCTCTATGTGCCTTCGCCGCTGCTGTCCTTCAATCTCTCCGTCTCTTTCTCTCTTCTCTTTCTCTTTCTCTTTCCTTTCCTTTCCTCTCTTCCCGCCTCCAAATCGCGTCTTTGATCTCTGATAGACTCGGCCATTTGCCAACCTCCACCCCCACAATTTTTATTCCCTGAACGATTGGTCCGCAACGAATAATCGGCATTCTATTTGGGAGACTCGATTAAATAGCCCTGAGCTATCAACCGAAGGGTGAATAAAGCTTCGCTCCGCAGAACCGAAGCTCCCGACCTGCCGACCACAGCGGGAGCGGCGTCAGCTGATTAGCCTCCCCCGTCCGTCCTGTGCCTTCTCACTCATTCAAACCGACTCAGACCGACCAGACCCAGACCCGGCTCCAGCACCAGCAGACCAGACCGTCCAGACCAGACCCATCCACTCTTGTCTGTCTTTCCCACCTGCCTGCTCATTGGAACCAGCTTTCCCCCGACTCGTCTGCTGGTCTAGCTTGGTATCACCGTCTTCCCATTCAATTCTCATTCTCTTGCTGGTGGCTTTCTTGGTTAGTTGTATCTTTACCTTGATTCTCCCGCGTGCCTGCCATTCGTACTACCCTCCTATCTGTTCCCCCTCCCCCCTCTCATCCTCTCTACCTTACCTCTGTTCCCTTGCCATTTTGCTGGCAGGTATGTCACTTCCTCCCAGCTTGTCGTTTCTATTTCCCGCTTCGCTCCCTCAGCTTCGCGCAGATCTTCCTCCATAGGTTTTCGCGCGTTGCTGAACGGCTCCGGATCATGGCAAAGGAGAGCGACTCCCGGGTGGCGGTCTTGCGACATGCCCTTTCGAAGGGTTTTCACCCGCAATGTCTGGTGCGCCGTCGCGTCTCCATTGCGATGACTGCAGATTATCCAAGGCCACTGAACTGACTTGGTTTGTTTCTCATCGCATAGTCCTCCCAAGGATGCTATCGTAATAGATTAGTGTCCTCTGCGCCTTTTTCTCTTCGAACCAGTCGTGTCGCTTGCAGATCAACAGAGCCCTCTGCGCGAGCGATAACGAGCCTCCATCTCGATTCCATAAATTATCATCATCGATGATGCCATCTCCCAATACCTCTCACACCGGACAATTACCCTCTGGCTCGCAATTTGACGACGGCTCTAGCATGTCTAACACAAGCGCGGATTACCATAATATGGCTGCCTCTGAACCCTCGTCAGGGCAAGGTGTAGACGGAGCTGATGCCATCGCGGAGGGTAAACAGAATGCGAAAGCCGTACTTGCAGCTTCGGGCGTTTCCCTTCCATCCAACGAATCGAGCCATGATGCGTCTAATGGCAACAACTCGCCTAATACTACCAATGGATCAGCAGCAAGCCGAAAACGATCGCGGGATGGTTCCGTCATACAACCTCCACCCTCCACGGAAAGCCTACCAGTGCGCGTCCGCGAGACGCCAGCGGACAAGATTCTCCTCGAAGACTACGTCAATCGCGAGTTTCACCATTCCGCACTGACAGCTTGGCAGAATCCTAGCCACGAACTTCTGCAGCAGAAACGCGCTGAGCGGGATTACTTCTTGGCGGTCCGGCGCGAGACTCACCTGAACCCCGCAGCGTTGTACGGTGTGGGCTATGAAGGATTCGGAAATGCTCGCACCGATTTGCGAAATCAACATCCCCAGCTGCTATACCCAGCCAACCGTCGACGTCCCGGAAATCGACGGACGAGGGAGCTCCGGGTATCTCGCAAAGATCTGAAAACACAAAACGAACAAGTGGAAGATTTGGTGCCTATTCGCCTGGATATCGACTGGGAGAAGATCAAAATTCGAGATACGTTCACGTGGAATCTTCATGATCGCGTGGTATCGCCGGAGCTGTTTGCCGAGAAACTCGTCGAAGACCTGGGTCTAACTATGGAAACGTGTGCCCCACTGGTGCGCATGATCTCGCAGAGTATCCAGGAACAGCTTTGCGACTACTACCCCCACATTTTCATGGAAGAAGATCCTCTTGACCCACACCTTCCTTACAGTGCCTATAAGAACGATGAGATGCGCATTCTGGTCAAACTCAATATCACCATTGGCCAGCATACCTTAATTGACCAGTTCGAATGGGACATCAATGATCCTTCAAACTCCCCGGAAACCTTTGCCGCACGAATGACGGACGATTTGTCTCTCTCCGGCGAATTTACCACCGCCATTGCGCACTCGATTCGAGAACAATCACAGCTCTTTGTCAAGTCACTTTACATCCTTTCTCACCCATTCGACGGACGTCCGATTGACGATCCCGATCTCAAGACCGCGTTCCTCCCTTCTCCTCTCACCTCATCCTTTAGACCATTCCAGGCGGCCAAGGAATTCACGCCATATCTATACGAGCTTAATGAGGCTGAGCTTGAACGAACGGAGGTGTCTATCTCGCGAGACCAGCGCCGACAGAAACGGTCCGTCAACCGTCGCGGTGGGCCGGCCCTGCCTGATCTCAAGGACCGCCAACGTACTATTCGCACGATGATTGTCTCGACCGTCATTCCCAATTGTGCGGCTTCTATGGATGAGAGTAATGTGTTCAAGCGGTCTGGCTCAAGTCGCACCCGTCGTGCTGCTGTTGGCATGCGCGACGGAGCGGACGAGTCGGAGGAGTCGGATAGTGACGAATCCTCGATTGCAGCATCTCCAGCGATTGGGCCCCACCTAGCTCAGGGCACGGCGCGCACGCGAGGTATGAGAGGAGCCGCTACCGCAGCACATGCCGCGCTCCGGGCGAGCCTGGGCCAATCCGCCACGCCCGAGCCTCATAACGAGGCCAGAGCCGCATCACGCAGGCGTGAATATCGGGAAGAGAGTGTGGATGAACCGGAGAAATTGATTGTGAAATTGAGAATCTCGAAAGAGAAATTCAAGCAGTATCTTGCGCACGGGATACAATCAATAGCAAGCCTCGCGAGTTCGACTCCAGTTGCACAACCGCCATCTCAGCAAGGCACCCCTCAAGTCCAAACCCCCACCCCGACTCCCATGGCTCCTCCTGTACAGTCCCAACCTGAAGTCCCCCTACCAAATGCCCCTCCGTCGGCGACACGACCAGTACCGATTCCACAGGTCAGAGTGGGAGACAGTCCCCATACCCCACAGATGGGAGCCACCGGGGTGAGTAAACAACGATTTACATAGTCCTCCTCACACGCCTCGGGCCCCGGCCGCAAGATCTGGCAGTCAGTTGAGGATTAGAACCCTCAGACAACCACAGACTAACATAGTTTGACTTAGCCATCGGCTCCCAACTGGCTTGTAGCGGAATTGGCGCAGCTGAACCGGTCTTACCCCAATGACTCCTTCGAGGCCACGATGCGGTATACGGCCGTCGACACGGAAACCGGACAGCCGGTAATCAATGCCAGCAATCAAGTCGGTAATGCCCGGCTGAAATACCAATACCTCCCACGCATCCGATGCCACGATTGTCCGGGCAAACTCTACAACCCCGGTCCTGGTATGACGGTCGAGAACTTCAAAGTGCACCTCACCAACGGCACACACATCAAGAATGTCAACGAACGAGTTGCTAGGACGGCGGCGGCGGCGGATGCAGCTGGGACGGCCGTAGGGGATGGCGGGAGTAATGTTGATACACCTCTGTGAATAATGACCTGAATGATGGGAGCGCATGCGCGCGCAGCACTTGGCTGTGATTTTCCCTTCCCTGTACTTTGTAGAAATCACATTATCTAACACAGACGCACACACTGTTGCCCAGTGGGCCTCTTGTGTTGCAATTGTTGTCAAACACCACACACCACACACAGACTACTCTAACAACGAGCCATCCTCCTCCCCTTTGACTTGATGTACATGTTTCTTTCTAGCGAGCTCTTTTTGGGAGAGAGGGTGGAGAAAAAGGTCTGGTTTTTTAGTCAAGCTCGTCCCCCTTTTTTTTTTTTTTTTTTTGACTACTACTACCACTGCCACCATTGCCACCACTACCATTACTACTTCTACTTCTACTGTAAGATATTCTCTCGAGGGAGCAAAGCGAGCCCACGTGGCCCAGCCGGGCCGTCTACATCTGCTTTTCCCTGTCGTCCCTCCCCTCTTCTAGTGCTTCAGTGACACTACACTCATGCCCTGCATCTTCCCGAATAGCGTCTGGGAAGTATAGGGTACGGTATTGTATCCGACCAAGGGATTCGACCTCCTGGCGATTGATTGAAGCTTACAAGATTGCACCCAACCAACGCCGGGAACCCGTATATCGAACTAACCTTTTCTTTCGAAGCTTTTGTTTTCCATCTTTACAATTGAACTTCTTGGAAACTCCTTCAGCAAAGTTTCTCATCATCGACAAAAGACATCACTCGGTAGATGAACTAACCCTACGGTCATCGTGAAGGAAATACAATTCCTTTTGGTCGCGAGGAGGAGGCGGAGGAGGAGGAGAAGGGAGGCAGGCAGGCAGGCACACACGGTCAGTTAGCTTCCATGTCCACAGGCAGATGTGTCGTCGACAGTTGTAGTTGCTGTTGCTGTTGCTGTTGTTGAAGGGTGCTTGAATAGCCATGTACATACATGTACAGTACACACCCACCGTGTAGGTCAGCTTATAGCTCGGAGTGTCGGAACTGGCGAATGCTCTGGCATTGGTAGAAGAATACGGTGTCTATTCGCGGGGGTGATAACTCTCTGGGAAGTGGATGGAAGGGCTGTTATAGATGTTTGGATTCGTTGTACTGGATTGGTGAGGAAGTGAGGAAGTGAGAGGATGACTGGCCGTCCGGGATCAGAGGCAATGAATGGCTTC